CAAGTGGAACCCCGGGGCATCGCCGACCGACACGGGGGAAGTGAACTTCCAGAGTGGCATCCTCGCGGCCAGGCGCGCCATCAACAGCCTGCACCAGGAGCTGGGGGCCGGCGGCTTCATCCAGGCACGACGCGGGCTGTCCCCGTTTCTTCCCTAAGGTGCCGTGCCCGCGCGAGTCTCCCCAGCCAGAGCGCTGACCTCTCACTCCTCCTGCGTCGCAGGTGTATGTGGACCAGGTGGACGAGGACATCGTGGCCGTGACCAGACACTCGCCCAGCAGCCATCAGTCCGTGGTGGCTGTGTGCCGGACTGCGTTCAGGAACCCCAAGACTTCCTTCTACAGCAAGGAGGTGCCGCAGATGTGCATCCCTGGTAATGCCGCCTGAACATGTTATTGGGGTCGTAGTATGTTGCTGTATTAATCCACACTACATTACATTACACTGCCGTTGTATATCACATGGATTACAACCCAGTGACGTGTGCTTGTCGTGGAGAAAAAGAATTCGAGATCTTGGTAATAATTTTGTTTTGTTTTTTAATCCTCACCCAAGGATATGTTTTTCATTGATTCTAGAGAAAGAGGAAAGGAGAGGGAGAGAGAGAGAAACATCGATTAGTTGCCTCCTATACACCCGACTGGGATCAAACCCACAACCCGGGCACGTGCACTCAAACCAGCTGAGCCACATCGGCCGGGGCATTTTTGTTTTTTTTGTTTTGTTTTGTTTTGTTTTAATTAACTGACTTTTCACCTTTAACTTTCAATTAAGTGGTTTTTAAAACTCCTTTTGGCTGAAACCGGTTTGGCTCAGTGGATAGAGCGTCGGCCTGAAGACTGAAAGGTCCCAGGTTCGATTCCGGTCAAGGGCATGTACCTGGGTTGCAGGCACATCCCCAGTAGGAGATGTGCAAGAGGCAGCTAATGGATATTTCTCTCTCATCTATGTTCCTAACTCTCTATCTCTCTCCCTTCCTCTCTGTAAAAAATCAATAAAATATATTTAAAAAATAAAATAAAATAAAACTCCTTTTGCAATTCCTCATTTCAGATGGTTTCTTACGAAATTCTGTGAACATGTTTGCATGCTCCTAGGTAAAATTGAAGAAGTCGTTCTTGAAGCGAGAACTATTGAAAGGAACACAAAGCCTTATAAGAAGGACGAGACGTCCATCAATGGGATGCCCAACGTCACCGTGGAAACCAGAGAACACATCCAGGTACTGGCGCTCCCCTCCCCTCCCGTGCTTAGCGTCCAAGGGCGTGGGAGTGATTCCCTGAGTGGTCGTGTCTCGCTTTGTCCCAAGCTTCACGAGAGTAAGATTGTGAAACAAGCCGGCGTCACCACCAAGGGGCCCAACGAGTACATCCAGGAAATCGAATTTGAGAACCTGTCTCCGGGGAGCGTCATCGTATTCCGGTATGGCAGCGTTCACACCGCCGACCTGCTTCTGTTCAAAATAGTTTCCATTAATTTTAAGTAATTTACTCTTAGAGATTCACCCGTTTTCCACTCGTGTTTTCAGAGTGAGTCTCGACCCCCACGCACAGGTGGCGGTTGGGATTCTCCGGAATCACCTGACGCAGTTCAGTCCTCACTTCAAGGCCGGGAGCCTCGTGGTCGACAACTCGGACCCCATATTGCAAGTCCCCTTTGCGTCGTGAGTATGCCCCCTGCACGGAGATCTGCCCCTTTAACACCCGGGGACGACCACCGGCCTGACGTGGGCGGTGTAAGGGTTCCTGCATCCTTGCCACTCAAAGGGGGGGCCCAAGGACCAGCAGCCCCTGCATCACCGACTGCTACCTTTATCCCACGTGCCTGCTCGTGTGTGTGTGTGTGTGTGTGTTGGCATGTACGCTCTCTCTATAGATACAGACAGACATACACACACACACACACACATACGATTCTGTCTACACTCACACACACACACACACAATTTTTCTGAACGACTTGAGACGAAGCTACATAGACACTTCCTACCACATCATTTTTTCAAAGATGCCTACGTGGCTTCTGTTACCTGGCGACACCATCATTACTTCTCCATTTTGGGGGCATCTAGGCTGCCTCCAGTTGTTCCCAGTTCTGTGTGCGTGTGTGTGTGCACTTTCACCTTCGCATAATTCCTTCTTCTCCCCCTCCTGCTCCCTCCCGGGCGGGGCCACACCCAGGGAGAGGATGGGTGTGCAGGGTCGAGCTGGGCCCCGCTGCAGCCTCACCAGCATTAGTCTGACGTGAGACACGATAGTTAGACGTCTTGTATCTCCGTGTCTCCGTCTGGAACACGGGCTTATAGCAGTACCTGCCGCTTAAAACCCGGAAGGGTTAGAGAGAATGGTGCATAGAAAGCTTCACACTGGCCTCATTGGTCATCAGGGGCGTTTCCGGAAGTGGAGTTCTGGGTTGGAACACATCCACCTGTTTGAGGCTTTTAACGTTGCCAGGTTCCCTCCAGAATGATTACGCTCTTTAATCCCGTCCGTCTGTGCACAAGTGTCCATCACCCCTCCTTCCCGATCCCGAGTGTGGGCTGCGGTGGTGAAGCGTTAAGCACAGGCTCTAGCAGCAGCTCCCTGGGACGCTCCATTTCGGACTCTTGTCCGCGGTGAGAAGTGAGACTGCGGGCGGAGGTCCAGTAGTAATGACTGGGGCCTCCCCACGGAGCTCTGAGGACTTCCTGTGTCAAACACTTAGCGCGTGTCTGACACATAGTAAGTGGTCCCGAAGTGTTAGCTGTTGCTACTCAAACTGGTTAATATAAAGTACTTTATAAAGGATATGTAAAGTTGTTAGATATAAAGCAACATCTCATTTTATTTTAAATATTAAATTAAATTTTTCTTTTGTTTGTCAGCCATTTATATTTATTGGTGATATGTCATTTTACACATTCACCCTTTTCTCTGTTGTGCTCAGTTATCTTTGTTGTTTTGTAAGAACTTTCATCATCAGGGATATTAACTTTTTAAAAATATATATGTATATATTTTTATGGATCTCAGAGAGGAAGGGAGATAGAAACATCAGTGATGAGAGAGAATCATTGATCGGCTGCCTCTTGCACATCCCGTACTGGGGATCGAGCCTGCAACCTGGACCTGTGCCCTGAACCGGGAATCAACCGTGACCTCCTGGTTCATAGGTCAGTGCTCAACCACTGAGCCACACCAGCTGGGCAGGGATATTAATGCTTTATTCAAACTCCTCTTAGCAAAGTAGTTGCACTCTGAAAAAATCGTGTGGGGCAGCAGCTCTGTGTTCCTATGGAATGCTCACAGAACGGATGCTCCTCCTCAGCCTGCTGAGCTCACCTGGGGTGCCCCCCCCCCCCAGGACTCTGCAGTGTGATGCGTCTGCAGCCTCCCCTTCTGCATCCCTGCCCGCCTGTTGGGAAATAGGCCAGAACAGAGTTGGTGCTGACACTGCTGAGGGATTTGGCTGGCAGCCTGCAGAGGGAGTCGTCCCAGCTGGGGTGCTGGGTGAGACAGGACTAAAGGAGGAAGAAGGAAGTCCGGGCAACAGGGTGTGTGTTCCCATAAAATTCAAGAGGATGTGTGTTCAGTTACGGACAAGGAAGTTACCCGAGGAGCTGGAAGCACAGGAAAGTGGGGTCGGGGTATTGAGCTGTGGTCAGTTACAGAGCCTCCCTGCTGACCGAGCGAGCGAGCGGGGAACATCAATCAGGCCACAATAGGCCCATCCCTCTGAGCATTACCGACAAGCATCTAATCTAAGGAAAGCCCTGGTGTCGGAGTGACCGGCCGACAGGCGGGGCGGCCTTTGGGAGGATTCCAGAGGCGGAGCCGGGACCTTGGTGACCCCTTTTCTGGTCCTTTGATAAGCGTCTTGAGTTTCAGGAATTGGGGTAAAAAACTCTTAAAAATACAAAGGAGGGGAAACTTCAAAATACAGGAAAATGCAAAGGAGGGGAGACTTCGCCCAAACCAGAAAGATTAAGAAAACAAATTTGTGCCCTAGCCAGTTTGGCTCAGTGGCTAGAGCCTCTGAAAAACCCCAGGTTTGATTCCCAGTCAGGGCACAGGCCCGAGTTGTGGGCTACATCCCCAGCAGGGGGCGGGCAGGAGGCAGCCGACCCATGATTCCCTCTCATCATGGATGTTTCCATCTCCCTCTCCCTTCCTCTCTGAAATCAATAAAAATATATTTTTTTTAAAAATTAAGAAAACAAATTTGCGAGTTAAAGAACTTAGGGGTCAGGAGATGTTCCCAGGGTGCTTCGCTCCCTGGGGTGGGAGCAGCGGTCCTCCCGCCGGACGTGCTGGCATGCTCCCCCTTTCGCTGCTGTTGGGCATGTGGGTTGCGAGGCCCGTGGTAAGGATGAGTTGCTCACGCCCGCATCGCTGAGACATCCTGTGGTCGTGGCACAGGGTTTCCTCCTGCCTGTTTATGGGCGGCAAGTGGCCGTCCGTCCGTCCGTCCGTCCGTCTCACCCGCTCTCTGTGTCGCGCAGCATCGCCTCCGGGTTGACCCTGGCCGAGCTGAACCAGGTGCTGTACCGCTGCGAGGCCGAGGAGCGCGAGGACGGCGGCGGGTGCTACGACGTCCCCCGCTGGTCGCCTCTCAAGTACGCGGGCCTTCAAGGTGAGCAGGGCGAGGGGCTCCAGCGCGGGGGGTGTTTTTTCAAGCGTCAGACGGTGTCTTCTTGATAAAAGTAAGAGTGTGGGCTCCGAGTCGGGCCGCCTGGGTGCAGGTGGTGCTCGGCTGCCCGCCCCTTCCTTGGCCCCTACCAGGATGCCGCTCTGCCCCCTGCCCACCTCTAGAAAGTGTCCATCAGATTGTCCGGCATGAAGGCTTTTTTGAGGATGAAATGAGGTACTTCATTGAACTAGCAGAGTACGCTGTGGACTGCCCCCCGGGGGTGCGCAGTGGTTGAGCATCGACCCATGAACCAAGAGGTCACCAGTTTGATTCCTGGTGAGGGAGTTGCAGGAGGCCGCCGATCAATGTCCCTCTCTCATCGATGTTTCTTTTGTTTTTTGTTTATTTTTTTTAATTCTTTATCTCATTGATGTTTCTATCTCTCTCTCTTCCCCCCTTTCTCTCTCTAAAAACATATTT